TTAATTTCATAAATGATTAGCATACCTACAGATTTATAATTTAATTTATGTGAAGCCTGTTGATTAAATATATTGTTTATCGTCTCGTGTTTTGGTGAAGAATTAATTGTTAGCCTATATTGAGCGATATTTTAATATATCTATTTTCTATAAAAACCATGATCTGGTAGACTATCTGATAGGTGACGATAGGATGCTAGAACATGATTTTGAACCCTCTTTATAGCGTAGACGATTTTCGGTAACCTATGCTATGAAGTGGTATTTATGAGAGACGTAAATATTTGTGCGTACCTAGTAGACACTATGCCGCCTGGGGCGAGGATCTGGTGTTGGCATGTAGGCCGGGAGAAATAATCCCTAGCGAAAGGCTGAGGGACACGGAGACAGGCATTGGGCCGGGAGGGAGTTATCTCTGGCTACGGGCACAGAGACTGAGGTGCAGGCATTGGGCCGGGAGTTATATTTATTCAGTGATCTTTCTAGCAGCACATCGCGTTTACGAGACAATTTATGATACGTTTATTGTTCTGATTTCTGCGAATGATATTTCGCTATATATATGGTTTTTGAGATATTTGGCATGCTAGGATTTTTATTTCATCCATCACTTATTATGCTAGTAGTTTTCATTATATAAACTTTGGGGGTTAGTATCTTGATAACTGTTTCATTATTATCGTACATATGAACTTGGTCCACTCACCTTTGTTTTGCGCCCCCATTCAGGACTTAGAATCAAGGCACCTAATCCTGACGTCAAGGCACTTCCGCAGCAGCATCTCCGGATCCTCTCGACTGTAGGACTCACTTCTTTATTCATTCAATTTTATCTTAATTCTTTTTAGTGATTAGGTTTAGTTGTATACTCTGAGCACGTTCCTAAATTATTAATTCTTTGTATTTAAATTTCATAACCCTTATTTACTTCTTATTCTTAGCTTTTGTATCAATTAGTGGCTTTCGTCACCCTCAGGTGTCGGCCAGCACGTGCCTATCCTGATATTCGAGGAATATCAGGGTCGGGGCGTGTCATGGGGAACCGATGCGAACCAACAATGTGGAAGATTATTTCATAGTGAAGCCCCACCCCCAAATGATGTCAATGAAGGTGTGAATTTTGCCGACAATGAAGGTGTCAAACAAATGAACCCAACTCCTTCTTTTGCAAGGCCCCCGGGTAGAGATAAGCAAAATGAAGCAAAGAGAAAAGGAAAGTCCCAAGATCAGATACGTGCACAATTTGCTAGCGAAATGGCAAGAATGAATGAAAACCAATGTCGTCGGGAAGAAGAATCGGCCCAAATGCGTTTGGCCATGAAGGAAGAATTATTACTTAAGTGTTAATTAACAAGCTTATTTCCAATTGGTGACACGTCATTTGGTTTGAAAATTTGTTTTAAAAATTTGGTCTACCTAACTTACCGTTTAGATAGGGAAATGTTATTGGCACTCCAAAAATCTCATTTTACACTCCAAATTTTCTATAGATAGAAAGAAAAATAAATGATTGTAGAATGAAAATTTTAAAGTGTTAATAACAGTTCTCTTTTATTACAAAAAAAAAACACTTATGTGGACCCAACACCCAGAACTTTGAGTTTTCCACTTTCGCCCTTATAGTTTGTTTGATTTAGGTACAAATTACTAAGGGCTGTTTGAATATAGATACGAAATAAATTTTCATTTCTCCAGAATCTGAAAACTAAAAATAAGCCGAATTCCAAATGTGCACGAGAATAGCTCTGAAAATAATTACTAAACAAGTTTTTAATTTAAAATAAAAATAAAAATAAAAAAAAGAATAAAAATAATAGTTTATCAAACGACACTTTATACAAATTTGTGAGAACCAAACCAATCCTCGGATTTTTTTGGTTTATTGGACTGGGGGAGAGGGAAGGGAGTGGAGGGATAATCGGAGATCCGACGAAGAGGCAGAGCCGGCGGTGGTTGGCAGTGCGTGAGTTGGGGTTGAGAGAGAGAGATGTAGAGCATCGATGCAAGATATCCCTACTTGTTCCTTCCTGCATGGTGACGAAGATGGAGAGAAAAATGGTAACTAAATACTGAAGAGTTAAAAGAGTTGTCGATGCCTAACGATGATCCTGCTCGTATATCTTTCTTTCTCTTTCATTTCTAAAAGAGAAGTTATTTTGGACAAATTCAAGTTTACGTTTGTCTTCAGAATAAATAAATGGAGGGCAAAAATTCCCGTTGGCGATCTTAGATCATTACGATCAAATCCCTATAAAAATACAGAGACTTGCTACTTGTCAACCAAGTCCACACACTCTGTCTAGTTTCTCACTCTAGATCTTGTTTCCTCTGCGTGCTAGACTGCTAGTAGAACCCTAACGTTTGAAGATATTGTCCTTTGGGCGCAAGGAAGTAAACCCCTTACCTACTTGGATTTGGAAACCCCTAATCCCTAATTTACTCTCTCCTAATCCTTAATCCTTTTGAATTAAATTAAAGCACGGGTTTGGGGAAATTGCACCGTTTAAGTTACAATCCCTATAAATACACATATACACTGGTTCTTTGTAGCCCAATTCCACTTTTCTTCACTACTCTTGCTACGTACGTACTCTCTCTCTCTCTCTCTCTCTCTCTCTCTCTCTCTCTCTCTCTCTTCGTTCTCTCTCTAACATTGATATTTTTTCATATGCTTTGTGAAACGAAGCACTCAGGACTCATGGAGGATTCAAGCAACTCCGGTTCGAGAAAGCGAAAAACGAGAGAGATGCTGCTGAGACAAGTCGTGCTTGCTCTCGCCGCTCCCAATACCTTTCCTCCGCGGCATCTCCAAACCACCACCACCAAAATGTCAGGTAGGAGAGAAGTCGAAAGAGGCAGTGCTTGATCAGTGCGCCCCTCCACCACAGCTCCAGACCACCACCACCGCTACCACTACCGACAGGGCAGGCACAAGAGAGAAGACGGAAGAAGTAGCACTTGCTCTCTCCCCTCCCAGTGCCCCTCCACAGCCGCTCAACATCACCACCAACGACGGCACCAAAAGTGACTACAGCGTTCGACCCAAACCACCACCCTCAAAACCCGCCTGCCACGGACAGAAGAGAAAACAAGAAAAGGTAGCAGCGGCGTCAGCATTACAAGGACCTGAAAAGGAGAAGCCGAGCTTGGAGGTGGTTCGCGTCCGCTTTTTGGACCCGGATGCCACGGAGTCTTCGAGTGATGATGATCACACCCCACCAGTTACTAATGGTCGTAAACGAAAAGAAGTTGAGATCGTTCACGAGATAAAGATACTGGGGAAAAACCCTAATACAAAGAGGCGTAAGACGCAAGAAACGATTACAAAAACAAGAAGGAAGATTAAAAAAGATCAGAAAACTGAGGAAGAACTTGTTGGTGAGAAGATTGTTATTAAGAAAGAAATTGGCTCATCTTCTTGCGGTGAAAAGGTAAAAAAACCATCGTCGACTTCATCAACGGCAGGTAAAAAGGAGACGAAGGAGACGGAGACGAAGAAGAAGACAACGAAGGAGGTTGTTGAGGTTTTGTGGGACATTCCCGGGGAGATTCCCGACCTGGATTTACTGGAGCAAGAGAAACATCGGCTTTTGTATAGGTTCTTTGATGGAATTCCCGAAGACTGTGAGGACATACCGCCGGAGGTGAAGGTTAAATAATCTTAATTGCTTTAATTTTTAGTTTTATTCCACTTTTAACAGATATATGTAGCTGGGTTGTCATGATGATGAGTTTTTCAATGTGCCCGGAACATGATTCAATATAGCAAGTGTTATAATACAATTTTGATAAAAAAAAATAAGTGTTATAATACAAGTGGTTGGATACTTAAACAAATTTTTTTTCCAACTACTTGTATTATGACACTTAGTGCACCAGCCCATGTTACTGGCATACTGAAAAATTTCTCGTCTACCACTACGATCACAAACTCTTGTAACTAATTAAATTTTATGAATTCTGATTAATTTTATTATGATTTCTTGAGATGCATTTGGTGTTCTTAGCCATGGATTTTTGGGTAAGTTTGTACATTATATGTGTAGCTGGTTATGATACAAAGATGATCATGCTTGTAACTGGTTTTTTGAATTTTGATAATAGAGAAAATTTAATGAATTCTATTGTATATGTTCAATTAATTGTGATTATTTTATGAATAATGTCCCAAGGCGAAAAAACTACTTAATTACAATCTCGAGATTTTATTATTTTCTCTAAATTGTAATCACGTGCTGAGTGCTATTGGAACATGAGATATCTCTGTTACATTCAACATCTCTGCCCAATTTTCTGGGAATGAAATGAAATTTGAAGATAACAAAATATTTCATGATTTTGCTTAAAATTACACCATACAAATTACCCATTTTTTTCTCTTTTGGTAAAAGAAAAACGAAATTTGTCAATTTGTTGAAGGAAAATTTTGGGAGGGAGGATAGGAGTGAGAATTGGAGAAATTTTTTATTGTGACGAGAACACGGGTGGTACACCACGTGTTTTTATGTAAGTGGTGGGAAATTTTACTTTTTAAGTTATTAACTTTTTAACACACATATCCCATCATTTGTATTGTAACACGTGGGGTACCACTTTATATGTCGGTCACACTCAAAAATCTCTCCAGGAATCGGGATGGTGAGGGAGAGAGAAAGGAGAGTTCAGCGGTTATATATTTACTTACAAAAATGCTACTTTTACCATCTAGTTGTATCATGTATCTAATAAAAATGAGGCTCACATGCGTTGGTGGACCCTATCTCTATTAGAGATATGATACAAATGAAGATACAAATAGGTGATAAGTGTAGCATTACTCTTTTACTTATGCTTTTTGGTGGACTTATACCTTATCAAGTGGGCTTCACTTGTTTCACAAGTAATACAAGTCATAAAGGATTAAATATCCAAAATTCTCTTAAAATCCTACTTCTAAATTGCATAATTACATTTTTGAACAATAGACTCGTTTGCTTTAAAAATGATTGAAAGCAAATGAAAGTATTTTTGAAAAAACAGTTCAAGGGTTTCTTGCAACGGAAGAGTTATCTTTTTGGAGTTAAATGGATTGAACAGAGTTCAAATACACATTGTAGAGGCAGGTAACCACTCAATCAGTTGGATCCAAAAATTCAAAAATTCTGACTCTCTCACACTCTCACCAAAAACTTGACGCAAAGATTGGAGCTTTCAGCTTGCTAAATGGCATGGCCATCTCTCTCTCCTCCTCTTTCAAAACCTGCATTCTCTCTCTCTCTCTGTCTCACTCCTCTCCTCCTTTCTCTTCTTCCTCCTCACTACCCCAACTCCCGATGCCCCAAACTAGCCCTCCCTAGCTCCCGTAACCCTCCACAGGTCCCTCATCACCACCGCAGCAAAAACTCCACCCTGCTCCTCCACCGGCCACTCCAATGGCCTCTTCAACTACCTCTACCTCCACTTCTGCCTCTTCCGCCAAAACCCATTACTGTCTCTCTCCTCCCTCTCTCTCATCCAGGATCACTTCTCTCTCGTCACCACAAAGCTCGTCTCTTCCCTCGATTTGACACCCAGCATGGCCGCCGTCACCCTCCTCGCACTCGGCAACGGCGCCCCCGACGTCTTCGCGTCGGTTGCGGCGGTCCGGACGGGCCAGTACCGAACTGGGTTCGTCGCAATTCTGTCCGCCGGCACGTTCGTGTCGGCGTTCGTTGTGGGGTTTGTGGCGATTTACGCCGCGCCCTTTTCGCTCAATCCGGTGCCGTTTGTGAGGGACGTGCTGTTTTATCTGACGGCGGCGCTGTTCTTGTTCTATGTGTATCTCAGCGCCGAGATTTATCTGTGGCAGGCGGTTGCGTTTGTTGGGTTTTACTTGCTTTTTGTTGGGTTGGTGTTTTGGATGGATTTGGGGTTGGGCGGAGGAGGAAAGAAGAGCAGGGTTGAGGTGGGATTGGTCGGAGATTGTGAAATGCAGAGGGGTTTGGTTGTCCCGGATGCCGGAATCGGGCATGTTAAGCGGAGTTTCAGGTTTCGGAGAGCTCTTGGAATGGTATGTTTCAGATGAACTTGTGTTCTTTTTTTTTTGTGTTTGTTCTGCAAAAGTTTAGGTGGATTGTGCATTGTATGCAATTGTATGATTGTATCTGTATCAGAGTTTAGAATTAGTGTCAATGGTTTGTTACATGTTTTCGAGAATTCGATCAGAATTTCCGTTGTTGGTTGGTTGTACTGCTCTGAGAAGAGCTACCTAATAGAGGAATTTTGGTTGTAGTATCAATCTATACAGCTTGCTAAGTAGCTCAGCACTTTGGTTTATATGTTCTGATGGTTTTGTTCCTAAAGCACATTGGACCAAATAATTTCGGTAGCTGAATGTAGGTGAAAGTTTTCGTGCCTAAAGTCCTTGAGATGAAAAACTTTGGGCATATGAAATGGATGACATTAGCCAGAAGTGGAGATCTTCGAGAGTTGGAATTCGCTTATATATCAATTACAATGCACAGAATTAGGAAACTTCAATCTATGAGCAAGGATAACCTTAACTGGAGATACCTGATTGTTGTGTGATATAAATTTTAGAAGCATGAACCGGGAGAAAGTGTGGAACTTTATATACTGATTGAGCTCATTTTTCACCTATACAATTTTATTAGCTCATTTCAGACATTTGTTAACTCTCTTCATTTTGTATGCAGATCTCAAAAGCATGGGAGCTTCCAGTCTCAATTCTTCTGAAGCTCACAATTCCTCAAGCTGCACCTTCTGAATGGAGCAGATTCTACTCATCAGCCAATATTGCTCTTTGCCCTCTAGCACTTCTATATGCTTGCAATTCGTTCATACCATTCCATCATCCTGTTGTTTTTCTCCTTTCCGACACCCATTTGCCTCTATGGTTTGTAATCCTCTTGGCAACCTCCTCTCTTGCACTTCTTCATTATGCAGTGGAAAAAGAGCCCCCCAAAACTGAGCAACTACCCGTATTGCTTATAGCATTTGTAATGAGCGTCTTTTGGATATCCACTACTGCCGGAGAATTGCTGAACTGCCTTGCTGCTCTTGGAACACTTCTGGAGTTGCCACCTGCACTTCTGGGGCTCACAGTTCTTGCATGGGGGAATTCGGTGGGGGATCTTGTTGCTGATGTCACCGTTGCCAAGGCAGGCCACCCTGCAATGGCCATGGCTGGGTGTTTTGCTGGGCCAAAGTTTAACATGCTTGTTGGACTTGGAACAGCTTTGGTTATACAGACATACAATGTTTATCCCGAGGTGTACGAGCTTCAGTTCCACGTGGGTATAGTGATTGCATTTGTTTTCTTGCTTCTGAGCCTGATGGGGTCTCTATTGGTGATTACATTCCGGGTGCCTAGGTTCTGGGGTTTCTGCCTAGTTGGTCTCTATGTTATTTTTATGGCAGTTAGTTTGGTAATCGCCAAGTTTTCAGGGTGATTCCAAGTTCATTTAGGTTGGATCTGCCATCGGAAAATCCAAACCAGGGATGGTATAGAGCTACAACGTATCTCAAGCTTGATCATGCCAGCTCTAACCCGGATGGATTGTGCACATTATACAAGCATCATTCATTGACAATTTAAGAAAGAATTGACGGATCAAGAAGGACATTGCATATTGGAAGAATCATCCACCCTCTTTCAAGTTTTTACTCCCCGGATGTAAGTGATATGCAGCTTCTAGGTATTTTTATTGTTTTCACACCGGATAGGCAGATAGATGAAATTCTTTGGACTACTAGAAGGGTTGTGCTATTCACTCACCCATATTTACTTCCCACACTCCCTTTTCATGTTTTAATACTTTAATCTTCTAGCGTTTGATCTTCCATATATGCCCTTGCTGCTTTTTGACCTTTGGAATTCAGAATCATGTTCATGAATCATCTCAACACTTGATAGCTTGAACTATAACTTTTACTGCAGAGTGAAATGCCTCGAGTTCGAATGCCAGCCCATTTTTACCAGAGTTCAAGTCCTCGTCCTCTTCTTCATAGATTAGAGTAGTTTATATAATCGCTTTATTGACAAAATAGGCTTTAACTGCAGAGTGAAATGTACAAAGAAATAGATGCATAGATGGAAAACAATGCCAAAGGCTTTGGCCAACCGCAAAAAAAAAAAAAAAAACTAAAAAACAGTGTGTTCACTTTAGTCTTGTACACCTAAGTGTGTCTTATAATTCAGAATGAGATCATCTACGAATCTATGCCTCTAGACATTGTTTTAAAAAACGGCCTAGGCGGTGGTGAGCCGAGGCGTTTTCTTGCAAATCGGTTGGAAAAATTAGATTGGCTCTAGGCGGCCGCCTAGGCAGGGTAGGCGGGGCTAGGCGGGGCTAGGTGGTTTTTTTTTTCATGAAATTAAAAAATAAAATAAAAAATCCTATCTAAGTCTAAGTGGTTGAAAATTGTGAACTTGTTGTACATTTGTCATCCTACAATACTCCTCACTATGGTTATATGGCATTGTTTGGACCCAAATTTACACCGTCGGCCCATGCAATCAAGGCTGTTGAGTGAGCATAGCTTTACACCGTCGGATGAAAGGTGAAGATAATTTTGCTATTATTAAAAGATATAGTGTGGTTTTAAATCCTGGCCCTATCTTTGTCCTTCTCTTCACAGATACATATTGGTGGAAGAATTGTAGTTCATTTGCAATTCATTAAGTCAGCGCATGCATATACGTATGGGAAAGGATTTTACAAATGGTGGAAATAAAGAGGGAAAACATTGATGTGAGGGCACGGTTCTTTGGAGGCCTGTGAAGGATAAGGAAAAAAAAAGTTTTTCTTAATGGTGAGGAAGTATGTATATATATAATTGGTGGTTGTTTAGATGTTCATCTCCAGGCGTGCAGTTTATTTTGGGACTCGATGTGATAAGGCTGAGCACGGGTTGAATTTGGTTGTATTTTTTACTAAGTTCAGAGTCTTGGGAATATAAGGCTTATCTGACGCGATTAGTGGAAGAGTTCTAGTACATGGTAGAAGCCTATATTGGCTTATCAACCAACGCGCATATGTCCCTATAAATATAGAGGCAGTGGCAATGGAAGAAGATTCTCCAACTCAACACACAAACTGCCATGCGCAAACCCTCGCTCTACGCGAAACCTCTCAATAACCTTGAGATTTTTATTTTCCTTTTTCGCCAACACATCTTCAGTTTGGACTGTTGCCGTAGAATCAGCCGACCGTGAAGCACCTTCAGTTTGGATAAACAACACTGCCCGAAGGCCGAGGCGTGTTCCTTCCTCGGCCACAGTCGCAAGATCAAAAAATCAGCAGTGCACCCAACACAACATCAACAAATTTACTCCTCGGCCGACGAGTTGGCACGCCTACACACAACCGAATGACGTAGTTAGCTTATTAGTTACTTGACTTGCGTGCCACGTAGGCTTGGTAGTTTTTTAGGGTCAATAGGCATATATGCTTAATGTGTTTTTAAATTTTGGACTTGTTGAATACTCTTTTTGCATTTTATCATTTTTTTTATTATCTTATCCATGGATTTCATACAAGTATAATTTTTTGTAAGTGTCAATATGCACTTATTTACAAGATATACAAGAAATTTATCTAAATCCGCCTAGGCGCCCGCCTAGCTCCCGTCTAGCCGCCTAGGCGCTAGCCTGCCGCCCAACTAACGCCTAGCGTTTTTAGAACCTTGCCGCTAGAGTACACAAATCCTAAAATCTGAGTCATGAGTGAGAGAGAAAAGGGAGTGGGTTTGTGTGTGAGGTGGGTCAGTGTGATAGGCTAAAAGGGGCCGCATAGTTTAAATTAAATGGTTCAGATTTCTGGATCTGTCAGCTCTAGGGCAGAGATCAAAAGATGATCTCATCCCTTATAATTCATTCACAACCAACAACCGTGTCAGACACATGATTGATCGATGACACTATATTTAAGTATATCTCACAATGTATCTACGGACATCGACAATCACACGCGTTCGACAGCTGAACCTAGCAAAATTTTTACTAGGATGGTAATGACGTAGGATTTCAAAGTGAAGTGGTCCATGACTCCATACATGTGGTGGGTTCGATCTGATCATGTGAATCTGAAGTGGTCCTTCAGATGAAGGTCAAGGTCACAATCAACATACATTCAAGTTTTAGGGAACATAAACTTATGCTAATTGGGTTTGATTTACCCTTAATAGGTCTTAATAATTAAATTATTAATGTCCAACACTTGCTAATCACATTATTTGGGACCAAAGGATTTTTGGTTTATGAAAAACCAATGTCGATACATGTTGACTAGTTTCATAGAATTTTACTTTATAAGAAAAAGTAAGAACTTCGTGACTCTAAAAGGAAATTTTCCATAAAAGATATAATAGTAAACTCTAGTATTGGTTCCTGAACTTTCATCTTTGTTTAGATTTAGTTTCTAAACTAAATTTCCGTTAATTTATAAAGTTAGGATGGAGAGACTAATTCTCCACATTGACAAAAATTCAATGATGTAAATTAACGGAAATTTAGTTCATAAATCAAATCTAAATTAAGGTGTAAGTTCAGGGACAGATTCTATAGTCAAGGCGAAATATGTAAATTAACTTATGCATTTGCCTAGTTGGTCTCTATGTTATTTTTATGGCAGTTAGTTTGGTAATCGCTCGCCAAGTTTTCAGGGTGATTCCAAGTTCATTTAGGTTGGATCTGCCATCGGAAAATCTAAGAAGCCAGGGACGGTATAGAGCTACAACGTATCTCAAGCTTAATCATGCCAGCTCTAACCTGGATCGATTGTGCATATTATACAAGCATCATTCACTGACAATTTAAGAAATAATTGATGGATCAATAAGGACATTGCATATTGGAAGAATCATCCACCCTCTTTCAAGTTTTTACTCCCCGGATGTAAGTGTCATGCAGTTTATAGGTATTTTTATTGTTTTCACACCGGATAGGCAGATAGATGAAATTCTTTGGACTACTAGAAGGGTTGCGTTATTCACTTTCCCATATTTACTTTCCACATGCCTTTTCATGTTTTAATACTTAATTTTCTAGCTTTTGATCTTCCATATATGCCCTTATTACTTTTTGACCTTTGGAATTCAGAATCATGTTCATGAATCATCTAAACACCTGATAGCTTGAACTATAACTTTTACTGCAGAGTGAAATGCCCGAGTTCGAATGCTAGCCCATTTTTAACCAGAGTTCAAGTCCTCGTCCTTTTCTTTATAGATTAGAGTAGTTTATATAATCGTCTTATTGAAAAACTAGGCTTTTACTGCAAGAGTGAAATGTACAAAGAAATAGATGCATAGATGGAAAACAACGCCAAAGGCTTTGCAATGGCTTTGGCCAACACCGCCCCCGCCCAAAAAAAAAAAAAAAAAAAAAAAAAAAAAAAAAAACTAAAAAACAGTGTGTTCACTTTAGTCTTGTACACCTAAGTGTGTCTTATAATTCAGAATGAGATCATCTACGGATCTATGCCTCTAGAGCAGACAAATCCTAAAATTTGAGTCATGAGTGAGAGAGAAAAGGGAGCGGGTTTGTGTGTGAGGTGGGTCAGTGTGATGTGCTAAAAGGGGCCGCATAGTTTAAATTAAATGGTTCAGATTTCTGGATCCGTCAGTTTTAGGGTAGAGATCCAAAGATGATCTCATCCCTTATAATTCATTCACAACCAACAACCGTGTCAGACACATGATTGATCGATGACACTATATTTAAGTAGATCTCACAATGTATCTACGGACATCAACAATCACACGCGTCTGACAACTGAATCTAGCAAAATCCTTACTAGGAAGGTAATGAAGTAGGATTTCAAAGCGAAGTTTCAATCAAAAGTGAAGTGGTCCATGACTCCATACATGTGGTGGGTTCGATCTGATCATGTGAATCTGAAGTGGTCCTTCAAATGAAGGTCATGGTCACAATCACCATAAATTCAAGTTTTAGGGAACTTAAACTTATGCTAATTGGGTTTGGTTTACCCTTAATACTTAATAATTAAATTATTAATGTCCAACACTTGCTAATCACATTATTTGGGATTTTTGGTTTATGAAAAACCAATGTTGATATATATTGTACTAGTTTCATAGAATTGTACTTTATAAAATAAACATAGGAACCTCGAGACTCTAAAAGGAAATTTCCCATAAAAGATATAAGAGTAAACTCTAGTGTTGGTTCCTGAACTTTCGTCTTTGTTTAGATTTAGTTTCTAAACTGAATTTCCGTTAATTTACAGAGTTAGGATGGAGGGACTAATTCTCCACATTGACAAAATTCTATGATGTAAATTAACGGAAATTTAGTTCATGGATCAAATATAAACTAAGGTGTAAGTTCAGGGGCCCATTCTATAGTCAAACTGAAAGATATAAAGTACTTTTTTTTTCCTTTTCTTTTTCTTTTTTGTACTACAACTACTTTTTCTTTTTATCCTCCATGTGTTACGAAAAATAAAAGCAAATTACAGTTGTTATCTTAGAAAAAAGAAAAGAAAACCCATCAAATATAAAAGTTGTAAAGCATGCTTTTGCAAGGCCATGAATAAAAATTGAAATACATTTTCGAAAAATAGCTAGTTTCAAACCAACATTCCTCACTTGTTTGGGATGTCAAACTCAATTAAATTATGTTAGTTTTTGTTATATCAAACATAAGTTGCTAATTAGCAACTTTAAAGTTGGTGTACACTAAAGAAAATAAAATAAGATTCGGTCACATGAACCAGCTCCACAACTTGTGCAACGAGTAAATCAAAACTCGCAAAGCTATTGAGATGACCAACTAATGTTTAAGTTTACAGCTCGTCCCACGATAACAAACTTCATTTATCGCCCATAGCCGTTTGTAGAGGAGTCGAATATGGTTCACCAAGATTCCACCCCAATTAACCCATCAGAGTTGTAATTAAATAAATTGAATGATAGCAATAAGATTCACATTAATGGTCAAAA